CTCTGACCTCACTCATTTATTGTTTCATTACCATCCAATTAAAGCAACGGTACATCTGTGCATGTATGACAGTCCTGTTCCAATATACCATCAGTGCAAAAGATAAAATTACAGATAAACAGAAGAAAATAAACTGTGTTGGTAGTCTTTCCATTTCTGTACAAGTATCTAAAATAATCCAATCTGTAAAAAAAAAAATAGCTTTGTTTTTGCTCAAAGTCTGAGGTTATACTTTCTGTTCAATTAGCCCATGGGCTGGTCCTGTGGTCGGTGAGGAAGTACCTCATTGTAGGAGCTTGTGGTAAAGATGGCAGCAAGGAACCAGAAAGGGGGGCTGGGCCCCTACCTTTGTAGGCACACACCCTATTAACCAGCTTCCCTCGACAAGGACACCCCATACTTCCCAATAGTGCCACGAGTTGGGAATCAAGTCTCCCATGCGCAGCCCTTGGGGTGCACGTCTTCAATCCACACATTCTACTAGCAAACACCAAAGCTTATGAAATAAAATAGGGGTGGTTTTGATGAAAAGTCACACAGAAACAGAACAGCATTTTCATGGTTATTTTGTTTGACAAAGATGATACTCCTTCCCCTGCATAGATATGTTAAAAAACAGAACTTTGGCTGTTATAATTTACACTACATGCAAAATTCAACTCTTTGTTGATGAAGCATTATTATTTTAGAAGAAGACAAAGGAGGACAGGTTCATGGTTCAGGGTGGATGGAGTTTTTTTTTTTTTCTTTCTTTCTTTTGGTAGTAGAACTGGGAATAGAACTTTGCCTCATACCTGCCTAGCAAGTGATGTACTACTAAGCTATGACCTCAGATCCAGAGTTTTCTTAAATAGAGTTTAATTGTTAAATAATAATGATAAACATAATTTCCTTAAGTACATAATTTCTGATTTCCTCAAGAACCATTAATAAGCAAAAAGCCAATCTAGACACCTAAGGAACTTCGGTCAAGAATATGTATTCTGCACAAAACAGAATATCTCAACAAACATAAGCACAGGTAAAGATCTTTAATACATTACAAGGAAAAATAAAACTGAAACCATGACACTAAACCTTTCCACACAAAGTACTGAGTGGAAATACCCAAACTTATTTTGTAATAACAACATAGAGTACTTGGCATACCCGACAGTGGAGAATCAGAAATTCTTACAAAAGACTGGAGGTAAAGTCTGTGCAAATCCTAGAGGAAACTTCTTGCACAATCTGTTACGCTGACTCTATACATACCATGGACCTACAGCTTTCACACTGAAGTGTACTAAACAAAAATGTACATAAGGGTACACAGAAAGACGTTAGGGAGACTGGAGTATCGCTGGTAGGAATTGTTAAAATCATAAATAGCTCTATCAAAATTCAAATTTATACATTGTACTTATTGGTAAAATAAAAAGAGAAATGTAAAAAGTCAGAGAGCAGACAACTTTTATTGAAAGAAGCCAGTGATGCAGGTATATCTAACACTCAATTCCATTCATATAGAAAGGGAAGTACTAGATAGTGATTTTATCCAGAATACTACTTGACGGCAATGAGCAAGGACTGAGGTGTCTGGGATACAGGTTATGCTGTGATTGTTGCTACTTTTCTCCAGTACTGGACTGAATCCATGGCCTTCACACTCAGCTACATCCTCAGCTCTTAGTTGATTTTTAATTTTAAAACAGGCTGTCCCTAAGTTATTAAGAACTTCAGGCTGGACTCAAACTTGCGACCCTCCTGGCACAACCTGACAAGAATATTGGGATTCCAGGAATGCACAACCACAAGTGGATTGTTTTGCATCTTCATGCATGTGGGTCCTCAAATGGTTATATTTGCTTTATAAACGTACATTGATCTTTGGAGCTGTTTTTGTACTTCCCTTTATTTTATGTTGCAATGAAACAGTTGACTTAAATTAAGAAATGAGAAGTCTGATACCAGAGTGCTGAAACTGCTGCGAGGCTACCTGGACTTGTGCCTGTATCAGGGCAGGGACGATAGAACAAGATCAGTGATGAGAACAGCTTATGTAATGGCGTGCAAGAGGCGGTGAAAGGAAGGAGGAAATAAAACCACCATTCAAATTATTTTGGGGGTAATAGGACCTTTGGTACTAGCTCACAGAAAGAGCTCAGAAGCTCTAAGTTTTGTAAAATTAAAAATATCTATATACTGAGACTAGTATGGGAATCCCCATCAGATTTTTTCTTTTCTTTTCTTTTCTTTTGGCAGAAGTGGGGATTGAACTCAGACTCTTGCATTTCCTAGGGAAGCATTTATTCTATTGAACTATCTCCCTATCCCTGCATCAGATTCTTAACTTCAGTTTTTTCATTATAAACATATCTCTATCTATCTGTCTGTCTGTCTGTCCATCTGTCTGTCTGTCCATCTGTCTGTCTGTCTAAAAATCCATATATCTATTCATATTTACATAGAGATATATATTAAAATCTCATATTCATTGAAAGATCATCTTAAAGAGCTGTTTTTGAAAGTTCTGTGTTTTATTAAATTTGTTTTAATCAATAAAGGAAGAACAGGGGCCAGGGAGATGGCTCAGTAGAATAAGTGCTTTCCTGGCAAGCAAAAGGGCCTGAGTTCAATCCTTGGTTCCAAAAATAATAAATGAATAAAAAAGTAAATAAGAATAAAGAGAAAACATTTAGATACCAAAATATTAATAAGGCCAGATGTTCATGATGATGCTAGCCATATGAAACTGATAGCTCATTACTACTCTACGGTCAAGTTATATGTCAGGTTTCCTGAGGGCTGATGGGGACTTTGTAGAGGCAAGGATTGTAAACAGTGCATAAAAATGTTAAACAATGAACTATACCTACTAAATATAATAATAAGATATGGAGACTATCAGCTGTGTGTCTCCAAATTTCGCTTATATGCTATGTACATTCTTAGCAAATCACTTCACTCTAACTCTTTAAAAATAACCATCCAGCAGAAAAGCATAAAAATGAAGTATAAAAAGTAAAACCATATTAATATGCTGAGCTGTAAAAGGTTCAAGTCAACAACTTTTTTTTTTCTTCCTTTTTTTGGTGTAACCAGGGATTGAGCTCAGGCCCTTGCGCTAGCCAGGCAAGGGTTTCTTCCACTGAGCCATCCCCTCCCCAGCCAAGTCAACAACTTCTGTCATTGCGAGTCTTATGGAAAACCCACTATTACAGACTACTGGACTATATTGGAATATTATGATGAATTCAGACACCTACAATATTTAAATGACAATGGAATACTCTTGTCTGACAAAACTAAACAAAAAAGAGGGATACAAATGAATGACCATTTTGTATCTGTATGTTCAAAATAGGATAGATACACAGCTGCATTCTCTTGGATTACTGAATAGAAAGATTTGTTCTAACAGTGTTTGTGGACAGGATATCGTGTCTGCATCTTGTACAGTGAATAACCACTAAGACAACAATACTCAATGTTTTAACTGAAACTGTGCTAGTAATTGGTTTTAAAATTGTCTCACTGCTATTTGTCTTTCAATAAAATTATTTTAAAAATAATTTAAAACACCTATGTCTTTTTTTGTGAACACCTGAAACAAAACTTGAATATTAAAAAAAAAAAGTTTGGAACTCATAGAGCTAAATGATCCTCTTTTTCTTTACAGTGTTTAAAAAATATGCTTTCTGGGTACTACGATGTTAGTTTATTATATGGATTAAATTATTTCGTATGCTCATATTGGCATATTGTATTAGCATTCTTTTGACTTTTTCGAAGGATGGAACTAAAAGGATTTATTTTTCCTGGTATGGACACAATACCTTACACCACCATTTAAAGGAGGAGTGTATTTTGCTTAGCTTCAAAGAGTTCAGTCCATGATTAGCTGAACCCTCATTGCAGAGGCTTTGCCAGGGAGCGTGGCTCACTTCATCTCAGTGGAGAAGCAGCACCGAGAAGAGTGTCAGAGAGGAGTGAGCCAGGCACTGCAGAGAGGCGCACAGGTTGCTTCTCTGACCCACTCAGACACACCCAGAAGTGCGCTTCACCAAACCTAAGGGGCTTTCTTGATGCATTTAGATCCACATATCACAATTAAGTGCCACAGGAGGACTTCTTGAGTCCCGAATCAGTACAAATCCTCCATATCTAATTGATCTAAAGCATTAAAGCTGTTCACACTTCTTTGGAGAACACTGTGTGATTCTGGGGTATGTTCCATTTTATTTGGGAACTTCTCTACTGTTTTGCTTTTTCCTTCCCACAATTGAAACCGGAAGACCTTTTAAGGAAATTCTGTAAGTATAAAATGTGGTAAAGAGTGTGAGATAGGAGAAAAAAAAAAAAAAAACTACTTGAAAACACCATAGTCATAAAGCCCATGCATATGCAAAACACACACACACACACACACACACACACACACACACACACACACGGGTTCCATGAAACACCTATCCCCTCTATAGCCAGTGTGAATGGATCTTAGAAACCATACATGTCTACACAAAAAGTGCAAGAAGAAAAGATGAGTGTGTATTGTGAAATGTGCTCCACTGTGTACCCCCTTGATGTGTTCTTCCCCTGGACCCTTTAATTTACAGCATTTTGCTTTCCTAGCTGTGCAGGTAGGGTATCTGGTCTTATCACAGCTGGTTTCTTTGGAGTAGGATTTCCCAACCTTGGTAAAACTGGTATTTTCACCCAGACACTTAGACATTCACTGAGCAAGACTGTCATGAGAGAGGGTGTTTAGCAGCATCATTGGTACTCAAGCCATGCTGGGCCAGTACTCCCACCCCCGGGGCTTCAGAGTCAAGATGTTTCTAGCGACTGGCAATTGTTCACTTGTGCCTATGTGTAAGTGGGGGTTGGGACACTGTGGGGCTTGTTCCAGTTGAGAATCAACATCCTACAGAATAAGAGCAAGCTACCGAAATACAAAAAAAGAAGAAAGATCCTAAGTTTAGCCAGCATATTTTAAGATGCTGTAAACTCTCCAGGAGGACCTTTATGATTAGACAATTTGGCCAAAGCTTCTTATGTAAGAGGGGTGGAACCTACAGTGTTGTCTGGCATCTCAGTCCAGATCTCTTGCTGTCGGCTTCGCTGTCTTGCTCTTTTGGAGATCAGCTCGCAATAATTTCAGTTTCTTTTCGATCCCGCTCAAAACATCCATCTTCTGTTCCAAAACAGACAGCGAGTGGGCAATGCAGTCTTCCACATCATAGTTTACTCCTTCAGCCGCATCCTGGATGCCCTCCCACCACTGGCTAGATTCCTTCCGCGAAGTTCTATCCTTCACGAGTGCAGAGGATAATAGTGCAGTTTCTTTTCTCAGCTTCCCCTCAACACTCTGTGCACAGGGTGTTTTCATAAACTCATCCTCCTGAAAGGACAGGGGGGGAGTCTTCGTATGCCTTTCTGAAGTCGGGGGTGCCTCCTGTCTAATCTTCGAGAGGCAACGCTGGTAGCGCCTTGCACCTGGGGCTAATTCTTTAACTCTGTTGGCATATCTTAAAGTGTTGAGGGTGTTTTCACAAGACGTCATCCCTGGCGAGATGGTCGCAATCATACAAGTGGAGGAATTCTGGCCTATGAAGGAATCCCGGAGCACTTGCGTGAGTTTGCTGGCTCTGAAAGGGGTGTGAGATGTATGATGACCCAAAGCCCTGATGCATTCTTTGAGGGCAAGGAGACTCTTATTGATCTCTGCCCCTTCTAGCTGCCTCTTCCGGTTGGCTTTGACCGTATCCGCTCCCCTTTCATTCCCAGCTAAGTCTATGAGGGAAAACTTGCCGTGTAGTTTCCCTCTGGACTTCAAGATGATTTGGAACACCGCGTGGCTCCGGGATGAGTGAACATTAACAGACGTCTGTCCGGAAGTCCGGCAGCGGTTGCCTAGCTCCACAAGGCTCATCACTTCCTCCGTGCAATGGACCTCTTCTTCCTGCAGCCCAACCACTTGGATTTGTTGCTTACCGTCCTCAAGAATTTGCAGTTTCTTCTTCCAGTTCAACAAGTCATACACCTTGCCACCATAAATCTCAAAAAAGGTCCCATAGACTTTGAGATCTAGTTGCTCGTAAGTGGAATTTTTGAGCAAGAGAAAGACATCCCGAGCCACCAGGGCATAGATGCCTTTAGAACAATCTTGGGCCCTTCCAAAAAAGGCTCCGCCCATGGTGTGTGTCTTCCCACTGCCTGTCTGCCCATAGGCAAAGCAAGTGGCCATGCCCTGGCGAAAGATGGACTCCACCAGCGGCTGGGCTGTGAACCGGTACACCCGCTCGTTGGAGGCAGTGTCATCAAAGGCATGGTCGAAACAGAAGGTCTGGTTCTCCAGATAGCGAGTGAGGTCCAACTTTTGCTTGGACTCGTGCACCACGACTGTGTGGTCCGAGACGATAGTGATGATGTCCAGGTCTTGCATGATGGTCTCGCGCTCGTTGAGAGGCCTCTTCCGCACGCAGACGCAGATCCGGTGGTGTTCATGGGGCTCGAGGCCAGGCATGGGGATCTTGCTGCTGTCCAGGCCCTTGCGACACTCTTCGATCATGCGCATGACCTCGAGGTTGGGATGTCCGGTGTTCACGTCGAGAGCACGTCTGGCTCGTATCTGCAGCTGCAGCTGCCTGCGCTTCTCTCGCTTCTTCTGCAGTTTCTCAATTTCGCGCAGGCAGGGAGATTTTCTCTGCCTCATCAGAAAAGGTTGGCTGGGGACTTCCACAGCAGGACAGTCCCCTGAGGGTGTTTCACTTTTCTGGGGGGTAACAGCAATTCGCTGTGGGGTTGCCCACTGGTCCCCGATGCCTGGAGAGGGTGCCAGACACAGAGGGGGCAATGGCTTGAGCGACTTGGGATGTTCGGCAGAGGACAGAGCTGGATTCAGCAGCAAGATGTTCTCCAGATTAATCTTCTTGCCTTTTTTGACTCCTTTCTCAACCCATTCTACTGTAACCCACGAGTTTTCTCTGTTGATTTCCGTGACCACAGCCAGATGGATCCTCTTGTCACTACGCTCTATCATCACACAGATTCCTACCTGGATTTCTCCACAGTGTGGCTTCAAAGGTTTCAGCGGAGAGAGGCGTGGGGCAAGAGGGAGGCAGGACTGGCTGGCCATGGTCAATGATGGAGAGATCAGGGCTGGCTTCCAGGGGTCCTGGGGAACCCAAGCCAGGCTGCAGCGCTCGCAGCCCTGAGCGCAGATGCGTTTTGCCCATGTGTCCCTGTCTGAGCAACCCCCGCGCAAAGCAGGATCTAGGGCCCCTGGCGTCACAAAGGCTTGGGATAAAAGGTTGCAGAGTGGGTCTCCCAGGCCTCTGGGTGAAAGGTAGGTGGAAAACAAAACAAAAACAAACAAACAAAAAAACACCTCTGGATGTTAGTGGAGTGCAAAGGAAAGCAAGACTGACTTGTTTTCTGACTGGAGGGGGATGAGGGGTGTTTTTTAAGATTCCATCCAAAGAGTGAGGGCAGAGAACAGAGTAGCTTTGGGAATCCTGAGGTTAAAATGCCTGATAGAGATTGACCTTTTACAAAAGGAAAGAGGGAGGGGGAGAAGAGAAAGGGGAGAAACCGGGAGGGGAAACGTGGGTGAAAAGAACCTAGATGTGTGTTATATTCCAGCGCCAAGTTCTTACGGTTAATCGAGTCACTACATGCTGCAAACAGGTAGTGGTAAAATTCAAAGTTAAAAAAGTGTATGTTCCGTGGACATTTGTGCCTTAGCTTTTAAGTGTTCCTCTTCCTCTGCAGTCTCGATCTCAGTGCTCTGTGCTTTCAGAACCCCCACGAAGTCCCCTTACACTTCTTCTGTTCTGGGATGCTACATGGGGACAGATGACAACAGAGATGTTTGCAAGATGGTCCGCTTCAAAACTCGAAATTCAGCAGGATCCCACAGAAGCCTCCTCCAACCTGCCGTCGGCGCACTTCCACCCGCTTCTGAATTCGCTTAACTTCAACAGTTGCAATTCAGTTATTCTAGTTTTAACGGGCTTTCTCACTACACAATCAGAATGAGCCGAGCATAACAGGTCTCTCTGGTAATTTTGCTAATATGGAACTTCCTTTGCCTCAGCATCCGTGTTGGCAAACACAAGATACTTATCACATTCCAAGTAGTTCTGAAAGCTGTAAGGTAAGCTTGGTTGGGCCACAGTCACGTGGTGTTTGAGATTAGAGGAGAAATCAGAGTTTCAAGTTCCTCTAGTAATTACACTTCTGGCCTCATTATCCATGATTTAAAGAGTCATTTCATCATCTACCTCGTTCTCACCCTAAGGTGTGGTATCAGCGTGTGTGTGTGTTCCAGGTCTCATAGAGAGCTGTCTGAAAGCAGCTAGGATCATCAGATATGTCTTCTAGACTGTGGGGTTGTTTATAAATTACTTATAGCTCTAAAGTACAGAATAGTAAGTAGGGTGACCTCTCAACTTTCTCTTGGACAGAAATAAATTGTTATAAGCTTTCTTGGTGTTAAAATTTTCTCCCTTAAATTTAATAAAGCTCAGAGAATTAGACAAATTTAACTACTATGCAGTCCTCTGTTCTGGGAATATCTGAAAGAGGGGCAATTTGAATACCATACAAAGAGAGAGGAAAGGCTCTTATGGAATTGTCTTTGTGGGATTATTAATTTTTCATTTGCCTGAATTATCAATATTCAAAGATGTGCCTTAAATAAGATTTTTGTCATTGTCATTTCAAGGGAATTATGTAAATGTTCTCGCTTATTCTATTCATCATTAGGTTAAATTGTACTTTTTGAAGCAATACTGCTTTAAAATTAGATGTTTTTAATAGACTTTTCTTAAACATTTATCTTTTGAGAAACCAGATCTCTCTCAAAATTAGGCAAACCACCTCTCTTCCAAGTTAGCCACAATTTTTACACCTAACCAGATGAATTTATACCTAAATAATAGATGGCTACCTTTAGGGTGGTTGTGCAAAAATTGGGAGTCTAAAATTTCCTTTGATCCATTTTTCCCCTCTCCAACATCCCACAGAAAAGCACATTTCGAAATAGAATTTCCAAGGGTATTCTGTTGTGTTTTCTAATATAGTTTCTCAAGATCCCTCATTTGTTGCTGTAGTTTAATTTTAGCCATCTTACCAGCTAGCCAGCAACCAGAGTTGTAACTCCTAATACTTCAGAGAGCCATAGGAATTCAAATTCAACAAAACCCAAATTCTATTTTCCTTCTAAATGTGGCACATTGAAGATATTTTTAATTGCTTTTAATAGCTTCAGCATGTGCTCATTTTTTAAAAACCTTATGCTTATTTTTCTCTTTTCACTGAGTCCTTCTATAACTGTCTTACTCCAGCACCTAGAAGCCTTCTGTAATTATGACATCACTTGACCTCTCAACCAATCAGACTATGTCTCACATTGACTCAGAGTATCTCTCACTGTCCTTGAAATTCATTTTAGCAAGTACATCCTTAGTATTCCTTGCCTACAAGTGTCTTAGTAGCTTTCTGTCATCCTAATGCAGTGCAAATTCCATATGAAGGAACATTAACATCCTTTCTACTTCTTCATCCTGGACCTTTACCATACTTAGTCTGAAGTTGAGCCAAGCTAAAGAAATTGAAGTCCTCCAAATATACTACTGTCTTTCGAATTTCTAATAGGGTGGTTCTCAATATTGTGATACATGAACGTCATTAGAGGGCCAGACAGATAGCTCAGTGGACTAAAGTGACTGCTTAGGCAGGTGCAGGGACCAGGGTTTAATTGCAGGCCTGCTGTGCAGGCCCCACCCGGGGGTGCACTGAGATGGCAATTGAGATTGGGCATTGTGATGCATGCCTGTAATCCCAGTGCTTGGGAGGCTGAAAACAATAGGATCACTATGAGTCAGATCTACATAATGAGACCCTGTAGATCCTGTGCTAAATACATTTTTAAAAAGAAGGAAAGAAGAAAGAAAGAAAGAAAGAAAGAAAGAAAGAAAGAAAGAAAGAAAGAAAGAAAGAAAGAAAGAAACCACTAGAAGGGCTTGCTAACACAGAGATTACTGGGTAACCAAGAGTTTCTGATTCAGTACGTCCTCACAGGGGCCAGGAATGTTCCAGTTCAACGTGTCCTCCTATAATTACTGATGTTATTGCCCCTGCAACACTGACAACTTCTGCTTGAACCCTCTAAACAAATCAGTCTGGCTCTTTGTCTGGTGGTTCTTTCTCATCTTTCTGAACTTGTCAATACCTAGTTTTAAATATTGCTATCTCTAAAAGAGTATCTCTTACAGGTTGGCCTTGCCTGATAAAGAGAAAACAAATGACTAACTTTTCAATAGCGAATATAAATCAATCAATCAATCAATCAGTCAATCACATAAGTGATTTCAACGGTAAGCTGTTTGTAGAGAGTTTTGGGGGTAGTTTGATAATTTTGATAGCCTGGAACTTTGCTTGCTAAAGTTTTATGCATCATTTGGGCATAAAATTCAGAATCAGAAATCATCCACTTAATGCTCTTATTTAATGGCTTTTATTCTGAGGGGCCAGTCAATTGAAGAAAAAAAAAAAAACTATGAATTTTGCATGTGGGATAAATGTTAAGACCTCTATATAATCAAAGTTGCTCTCCCTGAGCTGTGATCTAGATAAACACTTGGTAAAATGAACAGCTTCCAAATGATAGCAGTGGTAAATGCCACTACTATATTTAATTGACTAAATTTAACCAATTAGTAAGTATGTACGAAATATTCACCATGTGGTATTTACTATGTCAAAGGAATCTTAGTCCCCAAGAGCTCGCCGTGTACGCCTTTTGCACCCACCGAATGGACAGCACCTGATAAATTCTCTTCATATTAAAGCCCCACCCCCCCACCGAGCCTAAGAGGGATCAAGCGGAGCCACACAGGAGATGGGGACATGCACAGAGGCAAGCACAGGAAATGAGCTTAGTGGGTTTTGTCCATTAATCATGCACCTATTCCAGTTTGGGGCTTCTCAATATTATTTGTAGGAGGAAATGTGATTTCTATGCTCATTTTAGATACAAGTATCCCTGGAGAAATCCATCAAATACACACTTCTAGTACTGTTTTAGTGGACATCTAACAGCTGTTGGGCTCGTTTGATCGCCTTGGGGGGCTGTAGTTTTCCAGCAGACCGATGCAATCTGAGGTTAATTTAGATCTTCAGAGGAATTCAGCAGCTTTCCCCAATCTCTTTGAAGAAAGGGAATGAATCATTTCCACCTAAAAAGTTCTTATTTAAAGCATAGAGATATACATTACTAAGTTTATGCCTTTAGAAAACAAATAAAACTAGCCTTTTAAAGTGAGAACCATATTTTGCCACTATAACCAATATTTCTATCTTCAGATATTTCAACATTTTCCCTACACACTATACTTAATATGCTCAGATAAGTCCATAATTCTGCAGTCCTCTCACTAATTTATTAGGCAAGAGTTGTTTCTATGACAACAACATTATCTCTGAGACATCTGTCTCCAGTTTATTAAACAGAGCTACTTACCTGAGGATACCGGCAACATCCTTAGTTGTGGAAACTCATCTATAAAGTTGCCAAAGATAGTAAAGCAAAAATTTGTGTAGCTTGTTTTTAGCCCATCGTAGTAGCCATCTATTAATGTTCAATTTTATCTAAAATGATGAAGGGAAGTGTTGAGTTTTATTTATATTCTATTGTCAATGCTTGCTTGTTACACAGAAATTACAAAATTTATGCTATGGAGGGGCCTTTAGAACTCAACTGTAACACTCCAATTTAAAGATATGCTATATGCACTTCCTTCTGAGATTCTTTTTGGGTTATGCAATTCAGGTAAGTTGATCTGATGTGAAAGAAATACAATAAGAGATACATAGTACATATATGGGAGAAGTAATTAAAGGAATTTGGACATTTGGTTTAAATAAAATTGAAAGAAAGAACTTTGCATGTAGACATGAAGGACAACCTGAGAGAAGAGGAAGATAATTTGTTTTGTTTTTCAAAAGTGTAAATATTCAATAGTTCAAGAGCTAGGAAATCTAGATTCAATTCATTATGACTTTCCTGAATAATATTGATGGGCAAATCTGTAGTAAGTGTGGTTTGCCTTTCAGCACTGAAATCAAGCTAGAACAGTTGCCCTCCATTTCATTTCCACATTTTCTTTTCTTTGAATCTATTCTTTATTTGGTACAGGGTCTCACTACACAGCTTAGACTCATAG